GTGTGTGTGGGGGGGGGGGTTTGCTGGTACCAAGGCCAAAGGAAGCAGCTCAAGTCACCTTCAGCCAAGTGAGCCCAGCAGAGCTGAAGCAGGCAGGGGTCTCCCCGGGACTCAGAGGAGATGGCAGTGCACCTGCCGCTGGCCCTTCCAGCTCCTTTCGCTTACACGCCGCTGAAGAATCAGGGCACACCAGGCTGACCGGGCTCGCCTGGGGCCGGCCGTCCCGCTGACGCCGTCACACGCAAAGGAAGGACAACGATACGAAACGCCCGGCTTCAGCTGCGCCAAGCCAGGGAGCTCCGAGTCAAGGCGAACTGTCGTCTGCTCAGAGCAGCGCGAGCCACCGGCCGGCAGCTGGTTCTGCAGCCCCTGGTGCGCCAGCAGGGGGCTAAGGGTCCGTTTTAGCCGGGACAGTTCCCTTGCCCATGGTGGGGAGCCGGCTCATGAATGTTATTTCAGCTGTTGAAAAACGCTTGTGTGGAAGCCGTGGCTCAGAGCGAGGCCGGGTGAGTCACAGCCTCCCCGCACCGAGGCACTTTCTCGTTTTCTAGAAAAGGTGGATGCAGATGACGGCGCTGGCCCTTCAATCAGGATCTGCTGAGTACGTCTGCAATGCGCTCTCACGCCGTGGAGCGGACGGGGCGCATGGCCCGGTTTGATTTCAAGGGCAGGCTGGCACAGCCATTGGCCAGCCTGGGAAGCGGTGCAAGTTCTGAACAGGCTGGGTGCTTGAGCAGGTAAAGCCGAAAGGCTGCATTTCACACTGCCCTGAGGAGAGGTCTCTGCCCCAGTCTCTTTGCAGAGGCTGGAGGTGGGACTGGCCTATGAACTAACACCCTCCCACGCGTCCCGTTATGCTGGTGCACGTATCTGACAGCCCAGGAGCCCCTGGCTGCTCCAGCCACCCCGCTGAAGATCTGGGCACTGAGCAGCTGGGCCCGCTGGGCCACTGGGGGATGCGGAGAGTGGGGATCGCAGGCTCGGCTAGCCCAGCCCTCTGGGGACAGGGAGTCGTGGCAGGGCAGAGCCTCTGGGGGGTAATAAAGGGGGAGGGGGAGAGAGAAAGGAGCTGGGTCTGCTCCCCAAAGCCCTGGGAACATCTAATGCTTTGACAGGCCAGAGCAGAGTGAAAGCGACTACAACCAAACTCGCGGAGCAGTGAGTGTCGTGGGGACGTTTTCCAGCTGAGAAATTCCTGAGACCAGGCCCGGGGAGACGCTGGCGACGGTAGGACCAGCCTGCAGCCCACGCACAACCTTCTGGTGCCGCACGTCACGGGCAGGCTGGAGGAGGCAGGATCAGACCAGAGCGACTCAGCCAAGTGCCCTGGAAGTGAGACCCCCCCATGCCTGGGTGTGATGAGGCTTCTGAACCCCAAGTCTGCTGGGCAGTGAGTTAGGGCGGGGGAGAACGGCTGACAGGGGCTCTAGGGGATCTATGCTAAACGCCCATGCAGCTCCCAGCACACGATGGCTGCTCAGTGCCGGCCCCATGCACGTAGCCCATGCTTAGCCAGCCTGCCCCTTCCTGCGGGGGTGGCGGGAAATTTATTTTTCCTGCAGAGAAAGTTGAGTGATCTCTCCCAGCACATCTGGAGTGACCCTGCTCAGGGGAGGAAAAAAACCCAGCTCTGCTCTCTGCCTTGTTAATGTGTCCCCCCCGGCCCCACCCCCCCAAGGGAATCTCAGCTAGTCCTCAGCCGGAACTGCAGCCCAAGCAGCTACCTACACCCATGGCATCTAACGTCCTCCCTGGCACCATGACGCTATTGCTCTTCCGGCGCATCAGTGTCCCTGCTTCAGCTAAACCTGCCCCCCGCGTGTCTGGATGGGAGTGTCTCTCCGTGAGCACAGAGTCCTGCAGGAATGCCCGCATGGGAAGCTGCCCCCAGGAAGTGCAGTCCCTTCCGCGGGCGAGGGGCAGGCGGCCGCAGCTCTGGGGTGTTTGCACCGAGACGGGCCGTTCTCCTGCCAGCCCCGCGCGGCAGCTGAGCGGCTCTGGCTCAAGAGATGGTGGAGAACTCTTTCAGCAGGACCTCCTGGCTCAGCGTGTTGAAGGCAAGGTTCCGCCGCACGTTGATGCTGATGGACCGAACCTGGCGGAGAGAAAACAGCCATTTCAGCCAGATGCCCCCGGCCTCCCGGTGAACGGGACAGCAGCGACCCCACGGGGCTCCGATTTTCCACACCCTGGACAACTAACCTGGGGAAGTGGCTGCAGCAGGGTCTGATTGTGGGAGAGCTGAGCCAGGAGCACAAGCAGATTCGCTCTTTACAGAAGCAGGGGGGAGCGTCTGTAGTGGCAGCCCGGCCGGGAGGAGAGAATGACAGGGGAGCGCGGGCCTCAGGCTTGGGGCAGAACCTGATCACCAGCTGCGTCTGAAGCAGAATCTTCTCCCCAGATACACTCAGACCTGGTCTACACTAGACCCTGAAGTCAGTTTCACCACACCCCTGAGCGGCGTAGTGACGCTCACCTCACTCCCCAGGGAGGCAGCACCAGGTCAGCAGAAGAATCCTGCCACCCGGATCTACGGCCACCATGGACGTACGCATGCCCTGCCCCCACAGGCCCCGCCGGGCCTGCTCCATGCAAACCGAACCACTGTCTCAGATCACAGGGACACTGCAAAGCAACACTGACGAGAACGCCCGGCTCAGGGCTCCCAGAGACTGCGAGCCTGGCACCATACGGCTGCAGCTGGTTAAAAGTCCTTCGCACTGTGGAACCCCTGGTGGCCCTGGGGCTAGCAACAGCCAGTGGGAGGGGGCATGTCCTCCACCCCATTCCTCTGCAGCAGCAGGCCTCATGAGCCATGGGGCAGGAGGGGAGGGACACGGGCTGCGTGACAGCAGGGGCTTAGGGGAAACCACGGCTAGATCACGTTGTTTAGCTCTCCTGGACCCACTGACGAGACCCGGCAGCGAAGAGCCCCCCAGCCACCTTCTGCAGCTCCCAGGGTCTGGCCCACGGAGCTCCCGACAAGCCAAACAGCTGGACAGAGACGCCAGCTGCCCAGGTGTTACCAGGCCACCTCAGAGTACCTGACTGACCCCCACTCTCTGGTGCTGGGGACCAGGGCTCAGCTCAGGGAGTCCTCCAGGCTTCTGGGCTGGGGACAGCGCGGCACCAGGGGACTGAGTCTCTGAGTGACCTCGGGGGCGGCCTGTCCGTGGGGTGCGGCTCAGCAGCCCCTGACGCTCGGACCCACCCGACCAATCCAGAGCCTGCCAGGAGGCTTGGGGGGTTTTTAGAAATGGAACGAAATTTGCGCTGGTAACGAGCTCAGATGAAGCCTCATTAGGCGGGCTGGAAAGCAGGAGGAAACTGAGCTCAGGCCGTCTTGCTCCTTGGTGGAGAAGAGAGGGGCCTCCTGTTACTGGACTGCGTTCACACGGAGAGCTCAGGTCCCAGGAGAACTAACGCAAGGATGGCGTCATCGGAGCCCAGAGGGTGAACACGGAGTGACTGAGGGGGAGGGATTTTCAGGCCTTATCTACATGGGAAAGTTGCAGTGGTTTAATTTAAATTCAAACCAATATTGTCAAACTGCGTCTACCCCGTGTGGCACTCCTGTTTTGGGTTAAGAGCGCCTTTTTGGGGGTTACATTTAAACCTGTTCCCAACTGACATGCAGCTTTTACCCCAGAATAAGAGTTTGCACACTGGGGCGTATGCCGCTTTAATTATTCATGCAATTTTCCTCCAGCGACAAGCCCGGAGTAAAACTGTCAAACTCTGGTTTGTGTCAACAGCTATTTAACGACAACCACCAATTAACATTTTTGGGAAAGGAAGCCTTTGTTAAAGCCTCAACACACCCACTGAGACCCCTAACAAAACCGGAGGGGGCTAGGGGCCCTGAGATTTCAGAGGAAAAAACAAAACCAAACTTTCCAGGGATCTTTTATCCACTGAAAGCCCAATTTGCACCCCCCACCCCACCGCTGTTTGTGTCACCTTTCGCCACGATGTGACTGCAGCACCTCGGGCCTCTGAGGACTCGGTGCAAAGGGAATGGTAGAAGCCAGGCGCTTTTCCCTGCCATTAGTGAGAGAGGGTCGGGGAGAGGGAAAGGCCGAGCTGGAGGGGGAACATGGGTTTTTAAGCACAGAAGGACTACGCGGAGTTGTGCTCACTGCTTCGCAGGGAGGAGCAAAGGGGACACGGCCAGAAGGCTGAAGAGAGAAGTGGCTCTTGTGCGTCACTCCCTGCAGAAAAAGGTTCTTGCAGC